TGTTGATTCTCTGCCCCAAGAGTTGACATGCATTTCCTTGCAAAACCAAACTTCAGCAGCCTGGGCCAAAGAAGTGGGTTTTTTTTCAATTACCTCCAAGAATTCTCTTAAACTGTATAGTCACCCTTCCAAGAATTCCTCCATTTTGCACACAGACAAATAACATAAAAAAACAGCTAAATGTGGTAAATTATTATTAAATTTGTGGCCTCTGTAGATCTGCCTTTTCTCTCAAATAGATGAAGACCCTGTAACACCTCCATATTCTGTTAAACTATTTTTCCTTTGCTGCCATTTGACAACGGTTTTATTAATGGTTTTGAAAGATGTCATCAGGTGACGTTCAGATATTTTTTTATTTTTAAGGCCCTGTCCACACGAACGTGGTTATTTTTAAAACCGCAGCTTTTTCTACACGGTTTGGCCGTTTGTCCACACGCAAACGCAGCACCAGGTCCCTGAAACGGAACATTTTTGAAAACGCCTGTCAGAGTGAAGATTTTCAGAAACTCCGGTTGCAGTGTTATCGTGTAGACAGCGAAACCGGAGTTTTTGGCTTGTAACGTCGGAGCACGCACTGTTATCTCCGCCTACTGGAAACTTTTTCAGGCTTCTGATTGGCCAACATGGCTTTACGGTTGAGATTATATCGCCACCTGTTGGTTTGGCATGCTCTTGACAGTGTTTCATAGCATGCGTTTGCGTTTTCATGTGGACGGAGACTTTTTTTAAAACGGAAGAAGGAAAAACTGTTTTTAATATAATACCCGTGTACGTGTGGACATGGCCTAAATTGCCTTTGAATTTTTAAAGGACAACTGAAATACATCAAATGTAAATTTTCAAATTTTCTGTCGGAGGATTATTTGTTTGATTCTTTTATTCATTATAACCATTTATTTATCTTTTAATTTATTGATTTATTGCACTTTAGCAGACACTATACTGTAGAAAGCAAGCAGAGATACAGGTTTGTGTGTATTTACTTGCTTTAAAAAGTGGATTTAAGTGGGCTCTTTTTTTAACTTGCCCTGACCAGACCCTTCGTAACATTTCCCGCTCCTTTAAGTCTTATCTCTCTCCAAACACTGAATCCCTATCTCTCACTTTTCTCCTCTGGCACCCTTTTGTTAATCTATATAGTCTTAATTAAAAACAGAGGGCTGATCTGAAAAGGGACTTTTAGAGATTCTCATGTTATACCAGTGTGGAACCCATCTGCTTCTGATTTCCTTCCCCCTTCAGTCCTGTAGGGCCTGATTGGAGGAACGTCTCCAGCTGTGAGCGATGACTGCCGTGCTGTGGTATTTGTCCTGTTGCGAGGAGGTTGGCTCTGCTGCGAGGACAGCCAGAATTGCCCCCCCCTCTTTCAGTCTCCATAGGGAACACAGCTGGAGGGACGGTGAGAGGAGATGCTCGATCTGATCTCTCTTCTCCATAAGTGTTTGCAGTCACTGGATACGTGTTTGCAGTCACTGGATACTTCGATCTCTTCGATGTCATAAGCATTCAGAAAGCTCAGAAATGTTCTGCTTAGTCCTCAGAGTGTGACCCCGCTGTCATTTAAGGCTGCTAGGATTAACGTGGGGGTCTTTGGAACAAGATTCACCTTACTGAGTGTTGACAGGCAGTAAATATTTTGTGTGTATGTTTATAGTGAGTGGCTGTTTTTGTCTATTTTTGCTCCAAAAAAATAACTTTATAACTCCCTCGAACAGCTGGATAGTGAGGGCCCTTTCTTCAAAAACCCTCTTAAAGCTAATGCATATTGCTTCTGAAGTAAACATTGACTTGTGGCAGGATGGGACAGACATATCAAACATCAGCTATTCATTCGGTGTTGCTCTTATCGATTCCCTTTCCTGTCTTTAAGCTTTTTTCATTGGACAAACAGCCAGATTGATGTACACAAACCTGCTGTGTCCATTAAGCTCGGGTTGGGTTAAAATGGTTACATTACTTCTAGAGCAATGCACTGGGTAGAACTGTGTAAACACAACTCTGCAACACACAGGCTTCGGTCAGGATGTATTTAGACTGTGGCGTTTCTGACAACGCCATTAGTTTGTCATTTCCCTGGTGGTGACTGTAAGTAGAGCGTACTCTCCATTGCCTTATTTCCTCTGAGATTGTTGCATTTGGAAAATAATGAGTGTTTTGTTTTGAGCAATTGCTTATTTTGTGGGAGGAATATTCTCAGAGCTAAAACAATAGGGTAATATATTTTGGGTTCTTGGGTTTGTGGATTTTTGATCCGGTGGTTAGTGCAAGACTAATGTGTTTCAAATGAGCAACAAATAGTTTATTTTCTGTAATTTATTTTATTTTTATTTCACTCATATTTAACAATGCATTGTTTGTTTGTTCATATTTTATCCCCTTTCCATTCCTGGTCTAGAAAGCTTAGTTCCTCTCTATGAGATACAGAATGTCTAAATGTCAAAATTCGCCAGGTTTCCTTCACACTGCCAGTGTATCTCTATTGGTCTAAAATCTATTAAAAACACAACCAAAATAGGTCAGACTGCTGTAAACAGAAAATCATGTGTGTCCTCTGGCACTTGCCAGAGACCTCTGCAGTGCTGGATATATAGAGCCTTTTTCACAGAGTTGTGAATTCTTCAAAACTGCTGATCAAATCTCTCTCGTAGAGATGCCGTAACTTACGAGTGCCTGTCCGGTCTTGTCCAGTTGCGATTCGAGGAGATCTGCCCACTGTTTGCTTTGTGGTACAGTTTAGCAGGCAAGGTGACCGAGGTTTATACAACCCTATATACTGCATATACCACTGGTCAAAATATTTTTTACATTTTGCTGAAAGAATTCTCTTATGCTCAACAAGGATGCATTTGTTTGACCAAACATATAGTAAACACAGGAAAATTGTGAAATATTATTATAATTAAAAAAACAAAAACTGTTTTCTATTTGAATATATTTTAAAATGTAATTTATTCCTGTGTTGGGAAAGCTGAATTTTCAGCAGTCATTACTCCAGTCAGTGTCACGTGATCTGCAGTTTTGTTACTCAATTATATTATAAATAAAAATAGTTATTTAAAAATAATTTGTAATAATATTTCCCAATATTACTCTTCTATGAAATGAAGCTTTAACTTTATCCATTCATGAACTAATACTATTCTCAGAAACAGGGCATCTGGCACACACCTGAGTTTCAGACCATGTGGCAGCCCTTGACACCAAAATCAAACTCCATGTTGAGTTAATTACTAAATGTTTGAAGGAAACCAGTGATGGAAAGCAGTGGTTCTGACACTAGATATCGCTGATTGTTTTGCCTGTTCTCTGATTTAGGACCTCACCCCCACCAGACCACCAGCATTATGATAGCACTGGGACTGGCACCATCACAGGGATGGCCTTGCGTCAGACTTTCTGTGAAGTTTGAATGTATCGCCAAAACAACAGCCACAACCATCATGCTTTCCAGCTGTTGTCGACAGTTTTGTTGACAGTGGTTGACTCATGGTGTTTAAGGTTGGGGAGGAGAGCCTTTTGCATGCAGCGTGTCAGTTGGCCAGTTGGCTCTGGGTGGATGGAAGCAGATGCTAATAAATGATATCACTTCTTTTTTGCTCATATGGTACCTGGAACTTAATTTCCAAATCCTCTCACCAGTAAAGCAGCTTTAGGCCTCCCTATCCCCTTAATAAACCCCTTAATAATTCCAGTGTGGAATAAACACTCTGGTAGCCAGTGATTTGCTATGCAAGATTACACACGGTTGGATGCATGGATTCACATCCTAAATCCTGTTTAGTGTCACAGCAATTTGGTAAAAATCATGCACTACTAGCCATTTTTCTGTTCTCTTTTAGGAGAGCTGAGTCAAAAAGGAAGCAGAGGGTATGTAATAATGTACACCCTGTGACCAGAAAGCATACTGAGACCACACCGCAATTATCTGTTGAGGTTTGAATTCACTTACATAATTAAAATCATTAGAATTCCCCAAATACAGAGTTCTCAAATTTGTGTAGTGGTTTGGAGTTTGAACTCTCCAGCAAAAGTCTGCCATACCACACATAGCATCTTGTTCAGTTTAGGAAGATGAAAAAAAAAACAGTGTCACATTTCAAGTTAGCAGCTCTCTGTACGGATCAACATTTTGTTTAGATGTTTTTCCTGTGTTTTCGCAGAGCAGCATAGAATCAGTTGTGACAGGGTTTGACAGACTCGAGTTAAGCATTTTATGTGTGTTTGGTTTGGACAAAATTTGACCAAAATGATGTTTGTGATGCTCAAAGGGAAAACTTAGTCTTTTCTTTTTGCTGTTATAGAGGCCTAGATATTGATGCCAGCATTGACTCGCTTTGTTGAATCTACTCCCATAATATAATCCTTGTGAGAAAATGTTCTGCTGTGAAGGGGAAAATAGCCAACCCTATAGATTTTAGTAATTAGCAATTTCTCTTGCTCAGTTTTCTACAGGATTTATTTTCTTGTATATTTGATAATTAAGTTTCATGATTATTGTAGGTAAAAGGTCTCAAAATGAATATCCAATTTTCATTCTGTAAGTTTGCAACGTCCAAATTCACTTTTATTTTGAATTCATTTAAACAAAACAGTGCAGAATTTTAATATCAGCCATTTATCAGTTATTGGCCATAACATGAAAATAATTATCGGCTTATCAGTATCAGCTAAAATTTAATAAAAATGTCAAAGCTGTTTATTAACAAAACTGCATGATGATCACCAGCTGTTACCATTCCAAATGTTTTAAGAGAAACAACAGAGTTTTGTCTTGTACTCAATAACATCAAAGATTGTGTGCAATGCTTTGCATAATAACTAATTTGCATAAAATTTGGTCAGCCACAAATTTATACAAATTTTCCACAATCCACAGAAGCTTCAAATTGCTTCCGAGCTACACTAAGTCTAAGAACTGTTTCAGCTGATCGGACGAATGTAGATTTTCTGAGCTGAGCTCTCATTAATCAGACTCTGTCTCTGACATGTCCTCTCAGGCAAGACCCAAAGGTGAAGGACTGACTCCATACCAAGGCAAGAAGAGGTGCTTTGGTGAATACAAGTGCCCTAAGTGCAAGAGGAAGTGGATGAGTGGGAACTCCTGGGCCAACATGGGACAGGAATGCATCAAATGCCATATCAATGTTTATCCTCATAAACAGGTACACCTTTTAACAGCTCATATAATCTGATACTGTATTGCTAAAATACTACATGAAAGTTTTTAAAATCTGTCAGTTAACTGAGTAAGCACATACGGTGGAATCTTCCAAGAAGTTCTTATAGATGGGGCCCAGCAGGTACCCTTGAAACCTGAGACACAATCTCAAGGCATCCGTCTAACCCAAATACCCCTTGAACTCAAGAAGGGGCCATTTTTCAGGAAGTCAATGAACACTGAACTCATCTACACTGTAAAAAGCGCAACCTATAAATGTTACCTAAAAAAGCTGTATTTGGATTGATGTTAAATAATGTTTTTGACCTGAATAAAATCTGTTTGTCTGGATATTTCCATATGAAACACATTTTTAGGTTATCATGTTGTAGTGTACACAATAAGGCAAGAGTTAAAGCATTAATGTTATTATTCTTAAATGACATCTGTAGACTTGCTGTTTAACCTTGTTTTTAAAGAAGCACTAAACGGTTCTAGGCAGGTAAGCATGCGAATAGCTCTCGGGAGGGAAGCATTCACTGCAATTACCTTAACTACAAGTAGTTTTGCATTCACATGCATTAGCAGCTGTCGTACCGAAGGAACCAGCTGTTGAGAAGGCCAACTCTTCCACAGGACAGAGTATTATGGTTAATTCCCTTCTGACAAGCAAATTCTTTAGCTTTTCAGTCTCACCTACTTAACATGTTTCCTGCAGTAAGCGTGCAAGATGTGCAGCGCGCTGCAATATATATCAAAAGGCCTTTAACGGTTTGCAGCTGGCTTTCTTTCCCTGTAACTCAAGCAAACATATGAACATTTCTGTTTTTATTGTCCTCTCACAATGGAAATCATTTTTCCAAATCGTGCAGTATGGAAATCGCTCAATACTCCAGATTGTACACCGTAAAGTATTTTATATCTCAAGCCGCTCCCGATGGACGATTAAGTGAAAGTATCTGAGTAGTGCCAATGCCACACTGCTGCATAAAATAGCCAGAATGTGCTCGAGAAGCAGGCGTCCAGAGATCCCTGCTTTTATCATTCTCATATTTAATGACATGCACAGGGAACACGGCTGACATCTTTACAGTATGAGAGCAGACATGGAGCAGAGGTATTATATAAAGTCCTCCCAAGCTTCCTGGGTTTTTTTTTCGGTTTTGGCAGGAATTCGTTCTGCTTAAGAGCATCAGGCTGCAGTTGCCAAATTATTAATTCGCAGAGGTATTAGACATTTCCTCTTATTATCATTCACAAAAGCCTTTGGCTCACAAGCAAACACTCCCTCGGGTTACAGCGCTGTCTCCTCCCAATGGCCCGTCGTAAACTTGGTTTTCCGTAATTCACGGAGCGCAACTGAGACGTACAGGAAAGAATAACAAGATTGTAAAACGATCTTCCAAAAGCAATGGGTGGGAAAACAAATTGCAAAAGTATTATTTGTGATCAACAGCCAAAAAGATTTGGCTCGTGATTGTTCTCAGTGTCTTTTGCGTCGTGTCCAAGACAAAGATTCGCTATAGAGTCTTCCCTCCCTGGCTGTGGTCTTAAGCGATGGAATCCTGTAGGCACCTAAACTTGCAAAATTACAGAGGGGAAAAAATGAAATTAAGTTTTAATAACAAATCATGTACTTCTGGCAGCGATTGCAAACACAACAAGGACATATTGGCTCTTGATAGCCGTCCTAAACAAATTTCTGACACACCCCTGCGGTTGGTCCATTGTGGTTTGAGACTTGGACCTACGAGATCCTGATACTTTGTCTCCAAAACCATATCTCCAAAGAGTCTAGCCAAACGCAAAAAGAAATCTCCAGTTTCAACCTGACTGATGTTGTGGACAGAAGTACACATGCACTCAAAGTGTGATTCACATGTTCTGCTCCTCTCAGCGTCCTTTAGAGAAACCCGACGGCCTGGACGTTTCCGACCAGAGCAAGGAACACCCGCAGCATCTGTGCGAGAAGTGCAAAGTCCTGGGCTACTACTGCCGCCGTGTGCAATAAGGAGGATCCCGAGGTCGTCCCCACCCTTTCCCATCGCTTCGCCTACCAAGCGCTCCAAGAAAAAGTAAAAAGAGCCAAAATATTCATGTAAATATCTCTAATGCTAGTAACGGCTTTGTGTATCAGCAGCATGCGACGCATTTATTGTGTATAATGGACAATTGAATATGTTTGGGACAGTATTTCTATCCGTACGGGACGCAGTGGATTACCTCACCATTGCGTCCCCTGATTGTGTGTTTACAGACTCTCCCTTCATTCTCCCTGCCAAGTGAACTATGAGGATGTGCCGAGCACTAAAGGTGTCACGTTAGTTTGCTCAAACAAGGGCCCAGTGTGCCTTTGCAGAGTTTTTGGGTCAATAGCACATCATATTAACTGTGAATTAACAGAGGGACAATGGACTTTCCATCCCTTGCTTTTGTGTCACATATTTATTTATGTTTGTGTATCGTTTCGTAGTGCAATTGAATGAACTAAACTGGGATAATTTCATCTGTGTTTATATCTGGACAGGTATTGTCTAACCCCACCTCTTGCCATTAGAAACTACTGTAGAATAGAACTTTCTAATGCTTCGGATTAGCGCGTCAGGTAGTTTATATCTTTCATGTACGTGTATGAATTGCCAAATGCGAGATGTTTTTGTCAAGTTGGTTAAATGCACCCTTGGAGGCATTTGAATCGAGTTGTTGGCAACTATGCAAAACCATTGCAGCTTATGCAGAGTCATCAGCTGCTTACATTGTTGCACAGTCGAATGAAGTGTGTGGATGATCGAAACAAAGCCATGGCTAGCTGACCGTCACCGTCCTTTGAAATGTGATTACCTATGTTGTCAATTGCTGCCAGAGAACTGCTTCAAACATCTTAGAAACCCATGCAAAGCTGAAGTGTTTTGGTACAGGGGTCAAAATGTGAGCTTTTCAGTCCATGTGCTAACATTTACAAACATAACGCCTGCTCTTCGCTGAGATATTTGCCTCAGGATAAAGAGTGTGTTTGAATGACACATCTCAGATGAAATAGTGTGCATCTGTCTTATATAAACACCGCTCTAGAAAATGTCATTAATTCATTTCAATATTATGCAACAGATTTATTTTTAAATTCAAAATGACTCATTCACATCCTCCACTCTTGAAAATAAAGGTTACAAAATGTTTTTCCCCCCACAGCAATGCCATAGAAGAAGAACAGTTTTTAAAAGAACCATTTTTTTATAACCTAAGGCACCTTTTTTGCAATGAAAAGGTTCTAGGGATGTTTAATGGAACCATGGATGCATAAAGAACCATAAAGAATTTTAAGAATGTTGAATTTGACCCTTGCACTAAAATGTTTCATTAAAGAAATTCTCAGCTGTTTACACAATCATTCTGATCATATCTCAGAATGAAATCCCTAATTTTTAATGTTTTTATTGCCTTACCCCACATGTGCATGTTTATGCATTGGCTACAAACGGACCTGATAATTACACCCTGTTTAAACTGTGATTTTTGAGAAGCATTTTCTATTTGAGTGGACAAATATATGGTTGTAAAGGGAAAAGAAGGAAAAAGTAAGTAATGCTGAAGAGTTTTTTTGAGATGTAACGAGAAAACACTTTGGGTACATTTGATCAGAAGACATTTGGAGAGAGACGTTTGATTGAGAACATTATGATGTGAGGGTGTTAATATTTGGATGGAAGTAAGTGTGTACAGGATCTCATCTATGTGCCTTTACCTCTTGTTATGGCTCACACAAAGTACTAATTGATCATATTTGAATGTGGCCCAGGATTATTAAACAATAAATGTAGCTTTACGTGTTCCAGTGAGAAGTCGTAGATGGATATTGTGAGAATTGTGTCATCATTGTGTTGTTAATCCTAGATGTACATATGAAGTTAAACGCATTTACATGGTAAATACAGTGTGTATAATTGTTTACTTATTGTTGGAGTCCACATATTTTCTGTTGAATATTAGTTAATGTTTCATTTATTGCTATAAACTCAGATGAAGATAGGAATCTTGTTTGAAGGGAATGTCTAGTGCCTTAACACAGTTTGGTTATGAAAAGTCAGGATTTTTGCCAAGGAATGTCATGTATGATGCTGAGGAATTAAAGGAGCCAATTAGATGTCTGAAAATGTAAACCAGCCAATTTTTTACTTTAGTTGAAAAAATGGGTTTGAGTTTCTGATGGGAAATTCAAGGAGTATAAACTGCCAGGGAGTCAATCATTAGATCACTGTTAAATAAAAAGCAAGGCTGTTTCTGCAAGTTGCTGCTTTGTTCTTTGGACGTCATCATTGTTTCTGAGACCCTTTATTTCTTGGTAACTGATTTTCTGGTGTTTCTAATGGCTTCGCTGTGCGTACATTCTTACACGCCAAGGTTTACTTCAGGCCTCATTTAGGCTGGAATGAGTTACTCTCCTGTTTGATAAACACCGTAATGAAAATAACCAGTGAAATAAACGATTATTGCGGATTCATCATAATCATTGCTGATCACCCATAGCTGGTAGTCTACACATAATGATTTCCTTGCATCTTTGGGATCAATTCAATTTATTGTCAAGTCTGTACCCTTTAACAGATGACCCAATGCACCACTAGATTGAGGCCTCGTTATTAAATTTGCTTTATTATTGCAAAATAGTTGCATTGCACTATATACGTGACTAAAATGATAACAGCCCTTGTTGAAGGCATATTTACGTAAAATAAAAGCTTCCCCTGATTTCTATTGAATTCAATTTTAATTTTATTGAATGAACGACAGAGCTTGTGGTATTGACAGAGTGTACATGCATTTAAAACTATACAAAGTGCTTTTTGCGCATGTGTTTTTGTCTTGAAATACATATACTTGACTTTTATAGCTCACGTTCAGTATAAACTTGTTATTTTCTATTAAAGGTATGTGTATTTTGGAAACAATATAGATAATGAAGAGTTTGGAGCAATTTGATATCGACAAGATTTTGTTGTTTTCCCTTACAAAGATACTATTATGTGTTTTGTGTATATATTCGATTACTATCATTATCAAGTTAGCTATTTCGAAATGTTATGATGCAATATTAAAACTTTGTATGTGAAAGAGGGCAAAATGCTGAGATGCAAAAGAGCTGGGAGGTTTTTTTTTTCCTTTGATGTTTTACAATAATCTTTGGTTATATCCTACAGAAATATTTATGGAAGGATTTTGTTCTTTTTTTAACAATTAAATTCTTTTTTTTGTATAAAATATGCAACAGAAGCTACTCTATGAAGAAAATATTGATGACTACATAGAATATTATTCAAAAGTTGGTACATAATTAGTATGCCCTTACAAGCCATTTGATTTGTTTTGTTATTCTAGATGTTATCGGTATATATTAAACTTACCTGTTACGAGCTTATGTGTGCTTCAACGTTGTTTAGAATCTTTGCATGTCTTGCTATACAGCATGAATGTTTTGATTTGCATTTATAGGAAACCTGTAACACTCGTTCTAACATCACAAACAGCTGTTTGTCACATAACAGAAACTGACTCACACACTGCAAGTCGTAGGGCCTTTTTACTGAGGTGTTTTATAAACGCAAAACAGTGGCAAAAAAAAAACCGTGACTAACTCCAGTCATTGACCATTACACTGAATTGCACGTACAAACCTTTTACATGGTCGAAATGTGTTGGTGAATCAGGCCCATACCGTATGAAACTGTGAGCTCTAGTTAGCCATCTCCAGTTAGTGCCAAGTCCAGGAATGATGTCGAAATATTTTTCTTCGTATGTAAAAAAAACATGGAAAAAAACCGAAGACTATTTTTGGAACAAGTATGTGGGACTGAAGTTTGCATGTGCATGTTTTTTAAATGATTCAAGATTTATCATTTGTGCAATGTATTCTTATTTAATATTAATACATGTTTAATTCTTGCCAAGATATCTTTTATAGAATACACCTCTCTAATTAATAATAAATGCATATTCACTCCTAGGATTTCCAGTACCATTAATAGATTTACTGAATGTACTGATTTAACACTCATGTTTGTAATATCTGTAAAATATTTGTCATCATATTGGAGTGGACCGAGCAACAGAAAGTGTTGATGAGAGAATGTGCTAGAATGTGGGACGAGATGAAATCTGTTGCTCTGCGTCCATGAAACGGCATTCCGATATGTGCCTTATTTGTTAGTTAGGAAAACTGAAGACTGTGCTTTTAGAAGTTTATTCGATTAAAACACTGACTATGTGAATCATGACTCTGTTTCATTTTTTTCTAATAGCACACAATGATATATATTTCTGTTCAATCTGTGCCAAATATACGTACAGCCTGTTTTTGGATTTCAACATGTTCTTTAGCCCGTGTCTGGGTGTTGGGAAATTGTGTCCATTTTAAATCAGTCATGCTGAAGGCGTATGGACTGATTAATTATTTAGATATGGTGCTTGGGAATTATGCTTGTGTAATCGAAAACCATAGTCTGAAGCCTTGGGGAACAGTTGTCATTCCGACATCACATTCATTTACTGTCGAATAGTCCCGAAGAGCGTTTCTTTCAGTTCAGCGTTCGCCTGGTCTTCGCAACAGCGCAGGTTTGGAGACACAGATGTGTATTTTTTTCGCTCGGCCTAATTACTTGTAATGATTGTAAACACATGAGCGCTGTATGTGAACGTCAGGACTTGGCGATGATGCTGGCTTTACTCTTGAAGCCAACTTTAAGTAATTGGTCTACACATTCCAAATCCCTTAAACTTCACTAGAGGGTGGAGGCCCAAATTATATCAAGTTTGTTGCAACAATGCAGACTTAAACAGAGCGGGAATGAGAATGTCTCTATAGCAACATTGCAATCGGAGAAGTCAAACAAACCAGTTGTGAGTTCAGACCCCATATGGTTTCATTTAGGAAAGAGCAGTTTTCCACAAAGGTTCATAATTTACTTTCATAAGGCATTACTGTGATAAGCTACACCTACACACTATTTTCATTTCAGGGTATGTGAATGTCAGCTGGCTGCAGTTATAATGGAACATATCTGACAAACTCTTATTCCCAACTGTCTCCACAACTATTGTATGAACATGTTCAGAGGACTCTTGCTGAAAGTTTAACGTTGGAGAATCTTCATAGCCAAACAGGATGTCATATCCTGCTTTAGGGGGACAGGAAATCTTGTCGCTGGATAGAGTCTAAAAAAGGGTTTGGGATCATTCTCAGGAAGATTTAAAAAGCATGCCACACAACCAGATATACTGCTGCAGTTGTAGCCGGCCCTCATCTGGAAAACAGCCTTGAGTCATTAACAAAAAAAAAAATGGGCACAGGATGCAAATATCCTGTAAGAAATTCCATATGTCAAAACCAGTTTCATTTGTAATTTATTTATTTAAAAAACCTCCTGGGGTTTCTCTGGCATAGTTCTTAGAACGTAAACAATCTCTGTATAGCTTTTATCCTAATTTCAAAACCAAAAAAAAGAGGCTTTAACAGTATAACTTTCCTTGTGGCCCATGGCATTTGACCCATAAGCAAGATTTGTTGTGTAGGGGTAAGTAATCACAATACTTAGAGTCATTTGCTTACTTAGTAAGCATAAAACACCTTAATGGATCCATAGACTGACACATTAAAATGGCAATAGGTACTTAGGTAACAAATGTAAAAAAAAAATATATATATATATATAATTTACTTTAAATGACATGCATAAGCAGTTTTGTTGTGAAAACCTTTGATCACATTGAAATGAATGCACATCCTTGGTTACTTGAGTTCTCCACAGTCTGTGATGACAATCTTCTTTACAGTTCCTCCATCATGTAGGCCGTAGGACTCAATTACAGAGACCGTCTCCCTTCCTTCTTTGACCTGCCCGAAAACAACGTGTTTGCCATCAAGCCTGAAAGAGAATGACAGGAACATCAACACTTGGGATGAGTAACAATTAAACCAAAAACCTTTCCACCATCATACCATTCTGTTTTTGCAGTGCAGATGAAAAACTGGGATCCATTTGTGTTTGGCCCAGAGTTCGCCATAGACAGAACACCTACAAGAGAGAGACAGAGAGAAAATCAGACCACCTCCTGAGTTACTGCATGCTT